GAATATGACAGCATGTATACAGAAAATGTTCCTAAAGAACTGATTGTTGTCGTTGCGAGACAAGTCCTCTTACATTTTGTTGTTTTCATGTAAAAGTCAATAGTGTGGCGTGAAGGAACAGCTAGCCTTGACCCCCCCCCCGTCCACTCACAGTGGAAAGAACTTACTTTACTCTTTACCATCAGTGACAAGCATTTCCCTAATTTTACTTTACTTGTACCATATCTTCCCGTGTTATTTTCAGGTGAAGAAATGACCTGCCTTTGATCTGTCTGTGACGGGTGTTATCGGTGGGCAGGATACGCTGACCCGTGCCCCTACTATAAATGAAAACAATTCTATAAAATCTATATCTATAAGAAACTACTTTAAATAAAACAACCCCCAGTGCATCAAACCACAGTCAAACACCTTCGTGTCGAAGTTGAAGGGACCTAAATATTTCGAGTTATCCTAGGTTCGACACAACCGAAAATGATGATTAAACCTGATTAGAATCATCTTACATGATAATTGTAACATGAGGATCATCCTGTAAAATGATTATGTGATAAAAAATGACACGATTTTTATTTGAGCTCGCAAAAATGTCCTTTTTGAGCTGCCATATTCAACTCTGTGCGCTACGGTTTTCCTGTAACCAATACGTACCTAGATACTGGATACTGACTTGGATGTTTACTACACACGTAATCGTTAAAACCTGAAATCCACAATGCAATCCAATCACATGAGGGATGAGGGAACAAACTTAACTATGCTTATTGCTTTTGCACAAGGAAGTGTGCCAGCCCCTATCGCATGATTCATACAGGTATGACAATTGCATTGGCATGTTGGTCTCCTATGTAAAGTGACCTGTATTTGTGACAGGAAACAGGTCACGTGTTCGCCGCTGATGGGTTCACAAAGAAAGTAGAGAATCACAAAGACGGAAATCAAAGTCTCTCTAGTTATATTTTTCCTGAACCGAACACACCCAGTGTTTTTTATCATTCAAGTAGAATGTAGCTAGCTGACATTTCAGGGTTCGATTTAAATACATAAAACCTGCACTTGTGCAACCTGATATTGACAAATGCAACCTATTATTTATTACAACATGCCCCCGGTGTATGTCAAAGTTTTGCAAATTTGATATTGACTTTCTGAACAAGTTGTTTACTCAACATCCATTTAAAACTCAATACTCTTCATTTACCATGCTACGCAATTATTCCCAGTGTTGTGTGGAATTTGTATTCAAACTGTGGTCACTACACAATAATGTATTCCGAAGTGGCTGTAAATAGCTTGATTTAACAGTGTTGGGGTTCATGAAAAAAGTGACATTCACAGGTTATCTTAAAATGCTAGTATTATTGCAGATACTGGATATAAATTCCGGTCAATCTGAAACGGATAATGACAAGAAAGCAAGGGAATGTATTGGATGTTTATGTGATTCCATTCAAAGTGATCTTGTCAGTGAACTGAAAACTTCAGAATAATACTGACACTGATCTCGGATCTGAGATTATATTGTTTTCTAATTATATACATCTATAGTGAATAGGTACCTTTATGAGTGCAACATGGTTTAGTCTGGTGCGACAAGGTTTTGATGTCAACATGTACCAGGTGCAAGCTATGTATAATTCCTTCAATCAAACACCGCATTTACATACATGCCTGGTGCTAGGTTTAAACATGGTTTTATGTAGACATGTCGAGGGCATTTCCAAAACTGACCAAAATAATGTCCGAAACAAATATTTATTTTGACTTGTACCACATGTTAACTATCTTCCCGAAGCAAGAGTGTCCCCATGTCTATATCTATCTATATTTCTACCCTTGCTATTTCCAGTCTACTTTATTTGTCCCTTGTGATGAAAACGTGACATACAATCCGATCGGTGTTCCTATTTCGAAATGGCTTCAGAAATATGACTCCAATAGCAGATGACCTGTTCGATTAGATAACTGAAAGATTTGACATTTCATCCCACAGTAAAGATGCCTATTTCTGTCACAAATAGTGGCATACAGACTACAATGTATCAAGTAAAACTGCACATCACGGTAACACGAAACGCTAAGATGAGGATCGTCTAAAGATAGCCTGCATCTCAGTCACTGCCATAAGCGTCCTGACGTTTGAGTGAAAAACCCCAATGAAGTTTAGATTCAAATATATGAAAGTACTTGGGCGAGTTGGCTGGAAATGTTGAGCCACTTTGAAAATGTTTGTCTTTGCTTAATTGGTAAAGTTCGAAACTAGACTGCGGCTACTAATATATAGGCTACTGGACACGCTTGCCTCGGGAGGATGAATGTTGCCGTGTTTGTTCAGTCAGATGAACACTTGACTTACCTTTGCATGTGTTTGTAACGGGTGCCACCGATAAGATACGCTCACCTTTTCGCGAACACCTGGTATCATTGGTATTTGATTCATGAACACAGGTTTATGATATGCTCGGGTTCGTTCAATGAACTCTACTTTTAGCAGAAATTTCTAAAGATTATGAAAAAGGAATTATCGCCTTAATTGTATGGGTAATTGAATATTCGCTTTCATTTAAGAAACAATAACTGTTTTATGGTGAGTCATAACCACATGTTTATGAATGTATCAAAATGTAAAGGTTTGTGTGCGAAATAACGGTACTGTGTCTGACACATTTGAAAGCAAAATTGGAGTTAAGCAAGGGTGCATTTTAAGTCCGTTTTTGTTCTCCTTCTTTATCAATGAATTAGCTCAACAAAATCAGCAGAACTGTTCTGATGGCATCCAACTTCACTATAAAGTATAAACTATAGAATTATTTCTTCTCTTGTTTGCCGATGATATAGTAATGTTTTCAAGCACAATACCTGAACTACAAAACAAATTAATCAGCTGGAATGTTATTGTTAAAGAATGGAATTTATCAGTCAACAAGAATAAGACATAATTTATTGTTTTTAAAAATGGTGGTACACTACCTAGAAGGGAAAATGGTTATATCAAGGACATTCGTTAGATGTTGTATTGTTTGATTAGTACTTAGGTGTATGTTTTACAAACAGATTGTCATGGAAGATGCATATGCATGCTAACCAAGGTTCTGTACAAGCTAAGAAGATCCTAATTGGAATTCAAAGACAAAGTATACATTTATTTTTCGATGAAGTCTATCTAAAACACATAACCTAAATACAACAATAGTGTATGCAGAAAATGATAATCGTCTGTTACATGTTTGCGAGATAACACGCGAAAACGTGAAAAACACGCGCACCACGGACAACTGCAAATGCACGTGCGGGTAAGGGTATAAACGATTGCAACGTCAAGTCAGACATCCACAGCGATAAAAAAACACAAAAGAAATGCCACGACTCACAGTCGAACAACGTAAACGAGCCTTGGCTATGGTACAGATGGGAGCCACCCACGCCCATATTGCACGAACCTTCGGTTGCTCTCGTGTTGCCGTTACCAACTTGATGCAACGTTACAGACAGACAGGGCGGACCGCTGACAGGCCAAGAACAGGCAAACCCAGGGTGACAACGCCCCATGATGACCGGTACTTGCGTACCTTGCACGTCCGAAATCACTTCCTGACAGTGACGTCATCGGCGACAAATGCCTTAGGTCACACGGTTAGTCGACAGACATTGGCCAGGAGACCCAGGGCTCATGGAATCAGGGCTTTTAGACCATACAGAGGACCGCTATTGACAGCACAACATCGTTGTCTCCGATTGAGATGGGCCCGGACTGTACGACGTTGGCAACGACGTGACTGGAAGAGGGTTGTCTTCACTGACGAAAGTCGATTCTGTATGTTTAGGGCTGATGGAAGACAACGTGTTTACCGCCGAAGGGGTGAACAAACGGCGGCGTGTTGCGTGCAGGAGGTCGTACCATATGGTGGAGGGAGCGCCATGGTGTGGGGAGGGATCTGTGGGCAGGAGAGGACACCGCTGGTCATCGTTGACGGAAACTTGACAGCTCAGCGTTACACGGATAACATTCTTCGTCCAGTTGTCCTACCATTTCTACCATTTCTCCAACAGCAGCCACGTGGTGTCATTTATCAGCATGACAACGCTAGAGCCCATGCAGCCAGAATTGTCACTAACTTCCTCGCAGCCAACAACGTCAACGTCCTGCCGTGGCCTGCACGTTCACCCGACATGTCCCCTATAGAACACCTCTGGGACTTGATGGATCAACAACGACCACACTCTCCAGCCAACCGGCAAGAACTTATCTTGGCCCTCCAAGAAGAAAGGCGTCAAATACCGCGTGACCTCATCAACTTAAGACCTTAAACCTAATATATGGAAATTGGTGTTCCTACACGTATATATATATGCTTATGATATATATATACGCACAGAAAAGAATATATATATATATACGTTTAGGAACACCAATTTCCATATATTAGTTTTAAGGTCTTAAGGTTTTAACTGTCTTGACCTTATTGTAATGTTGTATTGACTGATTCGGATGCCTGTTTAATAAAATCGTAACATAATTCGTAGTAATAGTAATAGTTATGGTAGTAGTATTCACGATATAATATTTTTGGTAAATTTATGTGTTGCATGATTAAGTGTGACAATTCTCTGTGTCTGTCGTGACCAATTAAAAGATCCGTCAGCATATACTTTAACTAACCCATCCCCGTGAATGATACCTGGTCAAATACTACATGCTTCATTATCTCACGAAACTGATAACACTTCAATTGATTTTCTTCAACAAACAGCTCCTTAAGACATTACGACGAGATTTTATGACACTAGAAACATAACCTTAAATTGTGGTCGATATTCTCTGTTATAACGTTCGTTTTTCTAACATGTCAAATATTCTTCATATTCAAGGCTTTCCGTTCCCACCTGTTTTGAAGACAGGGTCAAGTCAAACGCTATTGGTGGAAGCGATGACGGACAAAATCAATAAACGAATCGGGAACTGATCAGCCTGTGTTTGAGAACAATAACGAAGAGTTGGAACTCACCTGAGGTACTGGGGTGATGCTTTCACTGGTATAATATTTCAAATATTTGATATTCATAATAGGTATTGATTGTATAACCATTAGCACCGGTATTATCAAAGTTTCAGAGCGTGGTGGAGTTTTCCTAGATTAACAACTGTCGGTGTACATGTTGGGTGTGGCGTGGATTCTGTCGACCCTGGGGGTGGTTGCAGGTGTCAATGACCTGTACCTCCTAGGGCTCTTCCCCCTAGAGGGGGCCTGGAGGGGAGGGGCGGGGCAGGTGGTGGCTGTAGACATGGCGCTGGCAGAGGTGAACGCAAGGGAGGATATTCTACCTGGGTACAGACTCAATCTCATCTGGAACAATACCAAGGTAGGATTACTATTCTGTACTTTCTGACGTTCAGCTTTTAGACAATATGTCGACCATTGCTAACGTGAGATTTCCTACTTGTCCCTTGATAAACGTTCAGTTTCATGTCGATCAGTGCTAGCCTAAGACTTACAATTTAATTGTCCCTTGATAAAAGTTCAGTTTCATGTCGACCAGTGCTAGCCTAAGACTTACAATTTAATGTCCCTTGATAGACGTTCAGTTTCATGTTCACAAGTGCCAGCTTGAGACTTACAATTTGTCCTTTAATAATCATTGAATTTCATGTCGACCTGTGCCAGACCAAGACTTTCTACTTGTCACAGATAAACGTTAAATTGCATATCGACAAGTGCTAGTCCTGGATTAAGCTTAGATGCTAACGTCAGTGCTTAGGTAAGACATATTTTTGACTGCATCTTTGCAAGTGCTAAACGTGAAATATCCACTCCGGGTACAAGTCATGTGTAAACGCTTTAATCATTGTGTGACACCAACATAGACGGACAAAAGGTTATTCTCCTGGTAATGAAAATAAGTTCAGAAGTGTTCCAACACATGACATATCATTCCTGTGTGTTTAGTGCGATTTGTACATGTTTAACATAATGATTATGGATGAAAATAACTTCATTACACATTTTAATGTTATTTATCATAACGAGAGAAAATATATAAATCATTCTGAACATGCTTTGCCTATTTGACGTATTAAAAGTGGAAGTATTTTAAGAATGTTTTAATGTAAATCAATAACGTTTTAATGCTTTTGTTTCGGCGGTATTGAATACAACATTCGCAACTTAATTTTATTCATTTATTTATTTATCCACAGCAAAGGTTTTGAAAATTTATATAGGAGAGATATCTTATTGTTCATCAGTGTAATTTGACTTTGACAGATTAGAGTGAGAGAGTGAGTATAGTTTTATGCCGCAATTAGCAATATTCAAGCAATATCACTGCAGGTGACGCCACAAATGGACTTTAGGCATTCAGCCCATGTTGGGAATCGAAACCAAAAATCAGAACCCAACAACATATATACACAAAATACTCCCCCCCTGCCACCCCCCCCCCCCCCCCCCCCCCCCCCCCTAAAAATGAAGATTAACAAAAATACGAAACGAAGAAAAAAATCAGAACCCAACAACATATATACACAAAATACTCGCGAGTAAACACGCGATCACTTTCTGTGAAAGGTGAAACAGATTGTGCCTCAAAAGTGCCTTAAATGTAAACACAAAGAGCTGGAACCGCTATTCTATTGGAACATTATTCTACACAAAGGGGAAATGATTATTGGAAAGTTGAAGTCACCCCTCTTGTCATTCAGTCTCAGTGATATACTGTCACCCTGAATCATTATGCATAGACCTAAATATGAAACAGATGAGGCAACAATGAGTGCAACAGTTTAAGCAAAGCCTTGTAGATTTTGAGAATCCACATGATATTCATTCCATTTGTCTCAAACACCCATGGATATATATAAAACTTTTAGGAGAATAGGGGAATGAAACTGTTGGTGGTTCTTGGAGTTTTATATATCTTGGGGTATTTAGGTAAACATTTTTTTTTATTTGAGAATGTTCCTTCAGTTTATAGCATAACTTTTCTTGCAAATTTCAATGTCATTAACATGCGGTCTTTTTCTGATGTAGGGGAGTCTGCTAGAATAGCATATTTTTTATCCTTATCTTAATTAGGATGATCGTAATGTCGGGATGAACACGAAAGCTGGCAATTAGAATATCTAACTAACGAGGTGTCATTCCTCCTAATCACACGAATCTAATGAATCCAACTATCTATACCAGTCAATACCTGTCAGTCCCTTGAAGATCGGGGTTGGAATTGATATTCAGCAACCCATGCTTGTTGCAAGAGGCGACAAAGAAAAGAACATTTAACACCTGGTGTCTTCACTATTGATAAGGTTCATTAACAGATGCTTATGATATAATTGTGGTTGGAATTGTACAAAGGACTCTGCCATTATAGCAGAGGTTTCTTATGATCATGGAAAGGGGTTTGTCGCTTCTACTTAACTACTCGACAGACAATTCGTTTTAAGAGATAGCAATATTTCGACTCCTGGCCTATTGTATAGCAACGAAAGCAAAAGTATAATTTGATATCGCCTTTGCATCCCAATGAAACGGGATTCACACATTGGAAAAAATAAGCATACTGAATATTACGAAAACAAACACTGATGTTGTTAAATTAGTGAGAGGAATTCGAACCCACAATCAGCGGATCCCGGCACGACTAGGGGACACAACACCTACATTGAGAATCGCGGCGAGTGCTGTGCAATCCGGTTCTACGTTTAATCTTCATCCATCTTGTCAAACCAGCAGACATTAACAGTTGTAACACGAACGTCCTCGTGTATAATTGTTTCAAGCTGAGCGACTTATCAAATACAGTTCGCCAATGCATCTGTCTATATTTAACACATTTATTATCGATATCTCTGCACCATGCCATTTCTGATAATAATAGACGTAAGAGTGTGTAGTCAACTCGCAAAGGACGTACGAGAATATCAATTTGGTCATTCAACAGCTTACTCATCAAATCAATTTATTTGCGGGGGACTTTTGAGGGATGTTGGTCTTGCATCTGATCCACAAGAACATTAAACTCTTTTTTATTACCGTGGTAGGAGCTGGTATAGTGGATCTGTCAGGCACAATAACATTCTTGTATTTCATCTTGTAGATGCATTGCGCGGAAACACTAGAGAACTTGGTACCCAAACACTGTAACTTAAGGTCCAAAACACAGCTGTGAAAGGGTATCAAATACAACATCGAATAACCATTTCATGTTGATTTCATTTATAGCTACCATCAAACATGGGTGTGTACGTTCTTTAGCGTGTTTAATTTGTGCAAATCCCGTAACATTCATATTTATGCAGTACCTAATTGGGGATATATAGTTAATAAATAACAGCTGTTGATATGTAGTGTACATTAACACAAGTCACCCATCTGGATATGTAGTGTACATTAACACAAGTCACCCATCTGGATATGTAGTGTACATTAACACAAGTCATCCATCTGGATATGTAGTGTACATTAACACAAGTCACCCATCTGGATGTGTAGTGTACATTAACACAAGTCACCCATCTGGATATGTAGTGTACATTAACACAAGTCACCCATCTGGATATGTAGTGTACATTAACACAAGTCACCCATCTGGATATGTAGTGTACATTAACACAAGTCACCCATCTGGATGTGTAGTGTACATTAACACAAGTCACCCATCTGGATATGTAGTGTACATTAACACAAGTCACCCATCTGGATGTGTAGTGTACATTAACACAAGTCACCCATCTGAATATGTAGTGTACATTAACACAAGTCACCCATCTGGATATGTAGTGTACATTAACACAAGTCACCCATCTGGGAACCAATCTCATTAAAATCAGATCTTAGTTCCCGCTATCGCTAAACAAAGATCCGAGGACAGCCCATTAAGGGTCCCAGCTGACACGCCGTGATATAACTGGAATAATGTTCAAAGTTGCCCTCAACAACTTATTGACATGACAAGAGCGATAAAATATTGGACTAAATTAATTCACCTCAACAATGATAGACTACCATATCAGGCTTACATGATGCTTAGTTCCACTGATGATGCAGGAAGACACACAAGGCTATTTCAATAAAGAATATGTTATTTCGCCTAGGATTTGGTATAGTCACCAGAATAGAGGAGATGCTGACATGTCTTTTATGCGAATATAAGCAAAGGCTTACCGACAATTTATATCAAGACTGCCACTCATCCTCGGTTCATCAAAGTCTAGTTTTATATAACAATACACATACAGTAAACTACGGTTATAACGAACTCAAAGGGACCACTAACTAGTCGGGGGAAAAAATCAGTTCGTTATATCCGTCAGTTTGTTATAAGCGTGTTCGTTATAAACGTACTTTCCTGTAAATATATCATATCTAACAATAAACATACCTCAATATATTAAATGGCAGGTATCAAAATTTAGATGTAATAATTTTGGATTATTTGTTGAGATTGGAAACACAATAATATTCCTCATGATGAAAGATATTGAGAATTGTGTTTGAAGAAAAATAAGAAGATTGTAGAAGATGAATAGATGATGATGATATGTGGAGGCTACGCCCAGCTCAGAAAGCAATATATACATCCATTTTATACAGATTATCCAACAACTGAAAACAATATCTACCTTACGAATTCTACCGAGAGACTTGCAATATTTAACATTGATCTGTTCGTTTACAATGATAAATGAGAAAAACAGTTATTTAATATTACCCTTGTATGCAGGATATTTAAATTGAAGTATTGTATTGTAGGCCGGTAGCCTTTATTAATGAATAAATGTCTGTTCAAAGTGGCTTTAAACCAAATTTATTCACTCACCTTTAGCCTACTCCACACATTTGATTCCACTTAAGTCCCGTAACGTTACGTCATATCCTCGTAATTAGCGATATACATGTATGTTAGCTTCGTAATTTGTTGGGTTCACTGTATTCAGCATTGAGGGCATAAAATATAAAGCTGATACAAACCACATCAGCGTTAGTGAGTGATTGAGTATTATTTTACGCAGATTTGAGCAATATTCCATTATTTTTTTAGCGGTGATTAAAAAATATCTACGATGACATGCATCAACCAGGTCAGCAAGCCTGACCACCCGATCCCGTTAGTCGTCTCTTGCGACAAGCATAGTCGCCTTTTACGGCAAACATCGGTTGCTGAAGACTTACTCTAACCCGGATCTTAGCAGGTATATGGAATGATTGATGCGCGGTCGACTACTCTTTGATTAAGTATTTTGTGTTTGAATACAGTGTCGCTGAGGTTGAAGGAGTACGTGTTACACTGGATGTATTGGGGTGTATAATCGTCTTATTGCTTGGAGGATGTCAGAGAGCCAGATAACGTTAATTCCTCATAAGGCCCTTCAAAATTGATTCTTAGAATACACCTTATGTTCCTTAAAAGTGAGGAGGGGGGCATTTATATATTTTATTTAGTTAAAAAACATGATAACTAAATTAGTAATATAACCCACATTTACCCAAGATTCATTAAAAAAAGGCGAGGTCTAAGAGTTAAGGGTAGGGCTAAAATATATTCAGATAAATATTCTGGCACAACATACGTTTTATATAAATGTCAGTTTGTAATAGTGTATCATTTACAGAACTTTTATATACATAGTCAGCACTTTATGGTCGCTTATCAATCAAAATAATTCTTATACCACTATTGTTATATCATTACTGTTACACATAAATTATTATTAAACCATACTGCAGGTTTATGGTTGAATTGCTCATCATGATGGATGGTATGTAAATCTTTGATCCTATGAACTGTACGCCTGTGCATGTTGTGGCCAGTGCGATCCTGGGATCGGTGTGGACATCATGTACAAGAACCTCATCTCCCCACCTACCAAGGTGATGATCATCGGGGCCGGATGCTCCATCGTCAGTCAGGCCACGGCGCAAGCATCCCACCTCTGGAACATGGTCCAGGTAGGTTATATACATGGAAAGACGATTCCGTGATCGCGGACAGATTTGCAGAAAATGTAACTTCCGCAGAAATGCAGAAAAACGCGGAATTTGTCATTTGTGTCCATCTATACTCTAATTTTCATTATGTTTTTCTATGGAATTTTGCACTCAAATGATACCAAACATTTACATGCGATTCAAACATACAAACTATACATATTACCATAAAACGTAATTTGAAATATATAATACTCACTTTTAATGTTCTTACGACTACATAAATTATGTTAACATCTAACCATAAATAGATATCAGAAACCATGCATATGTAATTGCATAATTTCATGTTTTTAAATGTAAAAATGTAAAATATAGAACATTTTAAAGAAGAAATATGGGTTAGAATTAATATTTGAGGGGAATAAGGTTACGCTTTTACCGCAGAATTTCGTAATTTTAGTAGCGGAATGTTCGCACTTTTCCCGCAGAATTCGTCTGGGACTGAAATGACACATTTTGCTCAATGCTAAGCTTTTCAATCAAGGCTTCGACACAAAACACCTGATTAGATCCTTCGAAAAGAATTATTACAATGCTTGTCAACACAATGCGCGATGATTTCACACCTCTCTTTACTTTAATGGATCGGTAACCTTGTTAACAGCTTGTTGTGAAAGATAACGAAAAGTGGATACAGTCATCTCTCTCCGCTTTTGAAGCCATTCATTAAATTTGACTTTCATTTTTTCCTTACAATTTATAACAAAAAAATACCTTCCTTTGATAAGATTACATCAAACAGTCATTAGCAAACTCTCGCATTGCTGCTTGAATTTGTTTCACGTCGCTAATGAGTCTTTACGAATTAATCAATAGAACACTATTTATTTAGTATTAGTCCTGTACGTATGACAGGTAAATAAACATTCCTCTAGTTTCCGAAACACTGTTTCAAGTACCTAAAATATTGTAAAATATTTTTATTATTTCAAAACTTTATTTGTCTTTTTCAACTTCATCACCAGTGAAATATCATTTGCCGTATAATTTCATCTTTCTAGATGTCCTACATATCTGTATCACCGGCTCTATCAGACAAAACACGCTTTCCACGTTTCTTCCGTGCAAATACCCCGGATGTAGATGTCAACCCTGCCATCGTCGACATTTTCAAGCAGTTTGGTTGGTCGAGTATCGCAACCATTCACCAGTCGTATGAGCTGTTCTCGGCGGTGAGTTTTCAACATTTAAAGAGGTGCATTGTAATAGTAATATATCATGTTTTGAACGGTGTGAACAGTAAAGAATGATGTCGGAATTTAAAACAAAACACATACATAAACTGCAAAAGGATTTGTTATGAAAAATGTTACGTTACTCGAACGTCCTTTTGATCTAGCTGTAACTCTCACAGTGTTCCTGCTGATCCTTGATAATCATTCACTTCACAAACAACGTATACACTTGAAAACGAAATTTTGTAGAAAAAAACCAAACGTTATCCAAACGTGATTAAGCTCAAAATAGTCACCGAAACACTGCAAAGTAAAGGTCCAAAACACAGCTATGATATCCACATCAAATCATAGCTTTTTCGTTCTTTTTCCTTTTCAGCTACTATGGGTGTAGATTTTATTTTGTTTATTTTAAAAATGTAAAGAAATAAAGTGTTTACCGACATCCCCTTATTTTAAACATATCAACTTGTTATTAATAGAACAAGGTGCAGTTTTATGCTCCATTTACATATATTCCGTCAATATAACGACGATCGACACCAAGAATGGCCTTCACAAATGGTACCTATGTCAGGGAAGGCTTTAACCACTTGGCTATACCACCGATTTAACATTTACAGTCAGATGTTTCTCCTGATATTGTGCTTCAGTGTGGCCGGAAACTTGTTAGTTATAGTGTGGGACTCTTTGGTTGTCTTGACCTCATTACATACGAAACCTGACTATCCGTACGATAATGTCAGGAACTAATTTTCTTTCCTCAGTTTCCATGTACTTTATAGGGTGTTATCTTTATGTTATGCATCCGATCCAGCCAATTGCTGACCTGATCAAGCGCATGAAGGAGGCCAACATCACCATCGTGAGATCAGAGATCATCAGCAGTACCCCCCAGACACAGGTGGAAAACCTCAAGGTACCCACCCCGGTGCTGCGTTCTCCATGTCCTATACCATTTAATTATTCAGCGAGATGTATGCATGACATGTAGTAATGTTGGCAATATGTTGATTCTTGTTCAACACTGAAATGCGACCACCTGGTACCATCACTATTTGATAGTGAATCACAAACATTTGCTCATGATTTAGTCGGAATCGTACAATCTGATTTATGCCGAGATAATTATGAATATAGAAAGGGTTTTGTCGCTTTTATTTACTATTTTCAAATGTATCGTTTTCAAATTTCAGACCAATGACGTCCGAATAATCGTTGGAAGTTTTTATGCTGATATGGCTCAGCAAGTGTTTTGTCATGTGAGTAAATGTGCACTGTCCAATATTGTGGCTTTAACAAATCGTTCTAATAAATAAGTGATACACTTACCTCATTCATGAATTGGGGGACACGGCTTAACCAAAGTGGGAAACGTCTAGGACCTGCATCACTTCTGGCGTTCCTTCCACATCAAGCTGAATACTGGAGTACTGTTCAGAGCGGCCTTTAACCCCACTCATTCACTTGTTCATGAATTAAAACATGTCCAGTTAAGCGTAATGCACAGTGTGTTATACAAGGAAACCCAGGAGGGCCCTAGCTATTAGATCGAAAACCCCGCCTTTCTGACTGCCTGAAACTTTACACATATGAGATGTGACATCACTTCCAACACATGGTTGGCTCATGCGGGCATTTGTCAGTTCAGAAGATTTCGTTCATTCATTTGTTATTGAACGCCGCACAGAGCAACATTGCAGCTTCATGACAGCAGTCTATATATAATCCAATCTGGACCAGACAATCCAGCGATTGGCAGCATGAGCATCGATCCACGCAACTGGGACACGATGACATACAATCACCTTGGTCACCGAGCCTGGCTGTCTGATCAATTTAGTCGCCCCTTACGACAAACTTTGCATGCTGGGATCTGTACTGATGCACGGAGTCCTCACGAGTCCTGGGTGATCGGAACATGTACTATCCAGATTAACGAGGTTCCATGTTCGTTTAGGGTCCGGTCCATCACAGCAGGTTTTGAATCGAAAGATATCCCATAATTTGGGGGCCCGCAGTTACTCTCCTTGGTTCAGTTATGCAAAGCGACTGTAGACTTACGACCGTCTTTTCAAGAATGCGAGCTGGTGGTATGGTTGTTGTTTGCAAGTGGGCCCTCAACCTCACGTTCGGCTATTTCCGTAAAGTCTGGCCAGCGCCCTTTGTTGGCAGACTGTTAGTCCATGATATGCAAAAGTGAGATCCACCTGTCCATTTGAATAGAAGTTGACGTAACGTTGAAATAATATACAACCACATTTTCCCTTTTCACAGGCCTACAAGGTGGGACTGTACGGCCCCAAGGTCGTATGGGTGATTAACGGGTGGTACGAGACAGAATGGTGGAAGGTGGCCAACCCATTGATGGACTGCACGGAGGAACAGTTGGCTGAAGCTATAGAAGGGTATTGGGCTGTTGACAGAATCTACCAGAACCCCCGGGGAGAGAAAGCGTTGTCTGGCCTTACCCCTGCGGAGTTTTTGGACCAGTTTGCTGCCAGGACGACCCCTGACATGCCGGGTCTGCGCTTTGGTCCTATGACGTACGATACAACCTGGGCGATATGTCTGGCACTGAATGGCACTCTCACGGATCTCATGAATAACGGTCTGTATACCACAAGTAGACGATAACTGCAGGGTACTCTCTTTTGAAAGAGTAATTTGATTCGAACAATTTTGGAGCTGATATCAGTTAGATATGACATGAACTTCTGATCTGTCAATATGTCCCAACTAAAGGCAAACAAAAGGGGAAATTATTCACTGTTACCCACCGCGATATACTATATCTTGCTATGTTCGTGTGATAATCCTTTAGTTGAGGTGCCCATGTAAAACATAGATAAAATGTCCCATCTTACTATACCCAGGCGGAATATTGTTTATAACGATGATATCCATTCCTCAATGACACCACACGTCAAGGCCATCTGCTACGTTGTGCTTCAGGCAGCAGCAAGGGCCTGGAGGACTTTGACTACTCTGATGACGACCTGGGAATGCTTCTTCTGGACAACACGAGGAGGGTCAATTTCTTGGGGATCAGAGGGCAGTTCAGATTCAACGAGAAGGGGGACATGGTGTCACTGTACAGAGTAGACAGGCTGCAGAGTAAGTTGCGAACATAACCAGTATGACACAACCTTGATGGTTATCTAGACCTTCCTTCGTGACGTATGCCTGTTGGACAAACCATGCGCGTTTTTGAGCTTGCAAGTACGCAGCATCATGGGGTTCAGAGAAGGAGTTTAACATGGCGGCGTGTCTTATTGTGTCCATTTAAATATGAAACAACAGTTAATTTCACTGTTACATATTTTTAAAGAACGGTTGCATTTGACATCTTTTCGGTGGCTGACCGTCAACGCGGCATTACAACTTTTTTTCATATGTCAGCGTGTTTAAAGTGTCCATTTAATTTTGAATCAACATTAAATTTTATTGTTACATATTACTAAGATGGTTGCATTGGCATCTTTTCCGTACCTGACCGCCAACCCGAAATTACAGCCTTTCTCCTATTGACTGCTTCTGGGATCTCTGTCCCAATTATTGCTAGATTCTTCTCGTTATCTGTTGGAATAATCTGTGTTAGCCGACATCCGTCAGATGAGTGTCCTCAAAGCACGTTTCATGTTTCAGACAGTAAGATCGACATGGTGGGGTTGTACGACGCCAACCTCCAGACTGACGTCAAGATCGAGTGGCTGGTCGACTCTGCCCCCGTCGTCTGGAATGGTCAGTCTCTCCATCGCTATCCATTGTTTGTGACTTATCCAATTTAGCTTATTCAAGATCGCCTCTGGCGTGTAGTGGATGGAGTGGCTTCCCGAAGAGCGGAAGGTCCGGGGTTCGATGCACGACCGCGTCATACCAAAGGACGTTAAAAGATGGTACTTAGTGTTACCCCGCCTTGCGCTCGGCATTAAGGATATAAAATAAGGACTGGTCGGCTCGTGGTCAGTATACTGTCTGAGAGGTTATCTAGATTCAACTGCAGTATGGTATCTCACATGTGCAAGCAGGTTGCTATATAAGTGCAATAATCTTGAACGCAATGTTAAACCCCATTCACCTCACCCCACCTCACCTCACCTCTAACAACGTATTTTCGTTTCCTTATTAAGACAAGGGCTATTTCGTTGCTTTGTCCAAACATGACATTAGCTATGCATGTTGTTTCCTTATTCGAGAAACAAAAGCTAGGGTAAAGTTGGCTTAAATCGCTAGAAATCTGTGAGACCTTACCTGTTATTATTTCTTGAACTGAGTTTAACTGAAGTAATTACAGAGAAAATAAACTCTTAAAGGGATGAGGTGGGACCCAAGTGTTAAAAGCGCTGGTCGAAGACCCAGGTTCGTTTCTTGACAATGGGTACGATCTGTTAATGTCCCGTGCCGTCATATAGCTGGACTATTGCTGGAAGCGGCTTTAACCACAATCTACACACTCTTTAATATGTCTTCTAAATACGTCAGTGGTCTTTTCCTTTCTTGGATTAGCAGAGATTAGACAACCTTAGAACATTTAAATTCGGACAGCTGCAAACTTAGGTCAAATACTGCAAATACGTAAAAATAAGCGACACAACTCTTACCTTGAACTATAGAAATCTCTGAAGACATTTCAGATTTACGCTTAGTTCACACAGCAAACATGATATAAGTATAAGCTTACTTGTGTAATCTGACCCGACCTATTGCATTTGAATATGCCCTATTTGGAATTTCCTACTGTTTATTTCATGGAAGTTAGATCACATGTCAAGCAGTTGAAGTTAAGTCTGTGAAGTCAGCAAATGGTATTTATCAATCGAACTGCAATCACCCCATACTGTATCATGGCGTTACAAGTCGACAGTCTTGGTGCTATCGTTTACTGCTAGTTATGACTTTTTATTCTTGAAAGGCAGGCCTACTTGCATTAATTTAATGATGCATTTAAGACCAGGAGTTGATATTAGCATTGATTTGGTGACGCATTAATTTCACGATTTATAGATTGTAAATATAGTATTTAATATATGTGTTTAGACATTCATAGTTCATGGAGACACAAGATAAATGGATACCTGTATTTTTATATACAATTTTTCGAGGTACTTTTGTTCACATGATATAGGGGCCAGAAGAAGCCTAGAACATTTGTGTATAAAACAGACTTTGAAATCGATATGCCATGTTTTCCTATGACAGGGGTTAAAGTTTCCTCACTAAACGTTCGACATCTGTGTCCTCTTACAGAATGTGATATGTTAGAAACTTTACAACAGTTTTGTATTGTTCAGTTTGCGTTTCGCACATCCGTAAAGGGCGAGAATTTCAGCAGCAACGTATAAAACCGGAAACAACTGTAGTCATGTAGTCAGAATTTCTGGCTTCTTTGTCGTTGCGGGTTAATGATTTTTTATTTTAAAACAACAAAAGTAGATTTTGACATTTTGAACGCATATTAATGCTATCAAAATTCGTTTTGGATTTTTAAAAAAAGAGTGCTTTAATAAAAGTATAGGAATGACAGTCCTACGAATTTACATGAAGTGGGAGGGGCCCACGTGCTGAGGGTGCTGGTGGTGCGTGTGCGTGTGTGTGTCCTTACTTGAATCATTAAGCATAACTGTACTACACAACTGTGAAAGAGTGCACAGAAAGTATGTGACATAGGGGAAAGGCTACATAGAAAGACGAAAGAAGAAATAAACACAGAGAAAAAACCATTGAATGGTAGCCACCAATAGGAGAGTTGCCCTTATGCTATCATAGGGTGATGTACATCAAACCCATGTTTCATTACTCCTTCAGAGTCGTCTGCAGGCTGTCGTTGACGGGTTGACATTGTCTTACTTGGGACTAACATGTAGTCCCTGAAAACAAGTTATGTAAAATCATTCCATAAGGGAACCATCAAGTCTCTTAATTTCAGGCCAAGGCTAAAAAATACTGAGCATAGGCATCTAGAGCTGAGGAGGGGGTGAGATTGGAATGAGGCCGAATGTATTATTATGAAGGTAACGCTATTTTCTGCAAATGATCATGCCCTGAAAATAGCGTTACCGTTATTATAGCTAAAATGGATGGAATTTTTTATCAAATAAAAAGTAACAACAATATCGGTTTTCAAACATTTACTGCAATCTACACGAATGTCACTGACCCACTTTTACAAATATGGACACGTCATAGAACAAACCAGATGTCGTCACTATTGAATGTGACGTCACCTATCCCTATCCTATGACGTCACCTAACAACGGGCGTGATAATGGCCCGTCGTCAAGAAATATGAGGGCATTATCAAGTTACAGTGCACTCGTGACCAACTCGTGTTATTCCGGGACAAGCCGAATAGCGACTCGTGCCCCTCTCATGGCCATTTTTGCAACCGGGTTCCGTCTTAGCGCAAACGGGCATACCTAAAACAATTGTCAATTCGTTGCGCAATGGTTCACATATATTTCCCCATATATTATTTATATTTCAGATGCAATTTAAAGCACATCAGGACATGCGAAATTATACAGTATGATTGAACACATTTAACTGTGTCTGGGGTATATTTTTAGATGCAAGACATATATAAAAACAGAAATTATTTCTGAGGGATTCTTTGACGAAGAACTTGAAATCATACGCGTATTCTGATTGGTTTGTCGTATTTTCGCACATAACATTCATCGATAGGGGGACGAGTCTTCTTGCAGGTTACGGAAAGGGGCGAGTGGTGACGAATGGTTACAGTGGTCCGCTCATTTTTGATAACACGCGGGCGGTTTAAATAGATGGTCTTGCGTCTGTAAGGGGGGCGTGATGTTTTAGTTCTCACACAGCTGTATTGGCAATGGCGTCTCTTTGGAATACAATGACGTGTATTTTACGTGAACAATGACGTGCCTTTGCATGTGTTTGTGACGGGTGTCACCGGCTGGACAGGATACGCTCACCGCAAACACCTGGTATCATCACTTTTAGTATTTGATAGACTAAGTGATTAGCAGTAAGTATGGTTGTACGACGCTTTTAGCAATAACACGGCTGGGGACAACAGAAATGGGCTTCACACATTGTACCCATGTGGGGAATCGAACCGGGGACATCGGAGTGACGAGCGAACGCTTTAACCACTAGGCTGCCCAACCGTCCGTGAGTGTTTCACAAAAACATGCTCCTGATATAGTCGGGTGAGGTTAAACATGCAGCATGGTTCTCGATAATTCTTCATTACTGGTGAATATTGACGTTCGCAATACACATATAGTCATTAATTTGCGGACCCGTGAAGATCCGGGGTAGAATAGGTCTTCAGCAACCCATGCTTGCCGTAAAAGGCTACTATGCTTGTCGTAAGAGGCGACTAACGGGATCGGGTGGTCAGGCTCGCTGACTTGGTTGATGCATCTCATCGATCCCAATTACGTGAATCGATGCTTATGATATCAATCACTGGATTGTCTGGTCCAGACTCGATTATTTACAGACCGCCGTCATACAGCTGGAATATTGCTGAGTGCGGCGTAAAACAACCAACCAACCAACCAACATTAATTTGCAACCTGATTTGGCAATCGTTCGATCTTGATGTAAAAGAACTTCGTGTTTTATCTTGTTAATAAACACAATGTTATTTACATACTTCTGAGGATTAATAGCAATCAAATAACAGGTGACTCCTGTAACAAGGTAGTTGAGATTCGTGCATCACGGTACAGGAGGCATCTTGGAACCTCACGTGCCATCATCATTAGTTGAGTCGCATTATATGGTGTCGCCCAGTGGTACGATGGCAGATAGGGCATCTGTCAAGAGGTTCTTATTCACCCAGTTATAATGGAAGTTCCTAATCTGTTATCCTAAATTACGGATCGACCTTATCGAGTACTTCTCACTGTCAACACCCTGTTTCATATAAGGAACGCTTATGGCAAAGAGTGGTACTGTGAGAGCAGTTAAGTTACTGTGTCTTTGAGCTCTTCTGATATTTCACATTTTGGTTATCTTCTTCAAGAGAGTTAACTCCCCCCTTGCCTCGGGAAGATGGTGGGATTAGCTCATTTGGTGAACGCACCAGTGACAAAAATGGTTTCCGATGCAAATTCTCTATTTTGACTTATAGAGACTTACGTTATGATCCCGAATTTGATCAGGTGAATAATTGACTTGCCTTTGCATGTGTTTGTGCGGGTGCCACCGGTTAGACAGGACACGCCATCCTTTTCGCGAACACCTGGTATCGTCACTTATTGACAGTATTTCATAAACAGATGCTAATAATATAGTTATTCTCATAATTTGTAAAGTACCCGACATATAACATCCTTACCCAAACAATTCAGCTTCTGCCTCCACCCACTTTTGCTGTTCATGCGATCCCTGTTATGTTGATTTGTTACACTTAATACTTGATACTTATCCATGATAACTGTCGTCAAAAAGTTCTTTTTAATATTTCATAATATATTACGTAAGAGGCTATGTGAATAATCATAGCGTATTTTATAAACTACATAGAAATGGAAAACCCCAAATTGACAGTACTGCTGAGGACCGGTACTCGATGTAACCTTAAGAGAACCAGATTGTGGATTTCATGTCTTGTTTCAAATATTAACAAGGAATAAGTAACCAAATTGTAGCTTCACGCCTGAATAAGGAACACAGACTGAAAGAAATACATTCATAATGAATGAATGAATGAATCTTTCTGAACGTGGATGAAACATGTATTTCGAGTGAGTGAGTGAGTTAGTTTAATTAAAGTCACGTCGGCAATATTTCAGACATAATGTGACTTGAACGAGTTAGTCAATATTAATAAAAAAAACTGTCGTCGATGGACAGTATAATAACTAGCAAGATATCACAGATTGACTTAAAAATAGTTGTAGAACATTGAAACTATCTGATTATTAGGATACGATACGATATAAAAATGGGTCTATAGATCACCAGCAACAAGGTTAAGGTCACCATACTAGGGACCAAGGGGACTTACGGTACCTCAGCTACCTGCATTGTTCCCCAGCAGGATTTACACCTTTACCCAAGTTACTGGTGATTGTTGCAAGTTTAGCCAGAGATTAAAATCAACAAATATTCTGCAGTTAGAGTAGAGGTTGATTGAACGCACCAATCAATTACAGCACAAATACACAATACGCGTTCTTAGTGGTATAACTATTTATTTCTGTAGCATGTGAGCTTTAAATATAACCCATCCACAGTTGCTGATGAAGTGGAGGAGTGGGAACGTGAAACCTCGTCCCTTACCACAGCCGGGGTCAGTCCCATTCGCATGACACAATATGTGACACATGGATCATTGCTGATGAGAATGCCATTAAAAACATGTATTGCTGTATCAGCGCAATCCGCTTCTTACTCACCCCCACACACACCCAGGTGCATCTGCAGCTTGCCCTCTGTGTAGTTTCTAGTCAATTCAAAAGGATTGGACAATGTCATAATTAAAACGCTTCCAGATTCCTCTTCTTATATTGACAATTATACATGTAAACTGTCGGACAAAAGAAAGCCCATGTTTGATGGTTGCTAAAGGAAACAAGAAATGGTTATCCGATGGTGATGTATTTGATACGGGTATGTATGTGGGTATATGTGGTTTGTACCGAAACTCTGCAGTAATTCTGCGACTGTTTTCATCCTTTTGATAACGTTTGCATGTTTTGTCAAATTCAATTTTCAAGTTTATAGTTTCTTTTTATATATATACATTTCTTGCAAATAGCATAAATGTTATACCAGTAAGGGGTTTGTATATATAAGAAAGAATCTATGAGTAACTAACATTGTGTGATATATCCCACAGGTGACAAGGTACCCAAGGACTCGGTACAGGTCATAAGGAAGCTGGAACGTCTTCCCCTCCCCATGTACATCTGTATTTGCGCTCTGGCCGGACTGGGCATCGTTCTCAGCTGCCTCTTTTTGGCATTCAACGTTCTCTTCCGGAAAATTAAGTTAGTATCATTAATTATATCTGACAGAAAGATTGAACATTTGTTTAACTTGATTATTGTCTAGAGAGCAATTAGTCTTGCTGGTTGAACAACACCATACAGTTTTTATCACATAATGGATTGTGTTGTGGATGCAATAAACATGTTCGATAAACTCGGTATCACGGTCCGATAAATATACAAATGAGGCCACCTGACAGGAACTACTTTCAAGCATTTTTTGGGACAGTATATGTTTTTCGATAAAAGGTCGGTCCGTAAGACGTCAATAAAATACTAGTACCGCTATGTCAGCGTTATACGCTTTTCACCCACCCCACGCCCAGGTGGATTTGAAACTGTCCTTGAATCTGTGTAGTTTCTAGTCGGGTTTTTGATTTAAATAATCTCAAAGGATTGGACAAAATTTGCTCGCGTAATACAATTCTATTCCTGATATTTGACATTTGCGATACAGAAAGTAATACACGGAGAGACAAAAGAAAGTATACCGAGTTTGTTGTTTATGTAATTGAAACTTGAAAAAAGACCCTGTTGATACATTTGATTATGTCTATTGAACCATAATTCATTCCTGAAACAGTTTGTTAAAAAGTAATCTGTGGCTTGGTAATTTTGTATAAAAATATATTGCTCAATGAATAATGGGGTAAGAAATGAATTTGCAACCACATGACCCCTAACATGTTTCAAATGTTGTAAATTTGTACCGAAAATTTATTGATTTTCAAAGATAACATATCTCACATACCCATCAGCAGTTGTGTATTATACGAAATATTTTTTAAACTTTAAAACGTTTTAAATACACTTAATATTTAAAAACCTAAAACCATGTGGAAGTATTATTTGAGTGCTTGCCTTGCACTTCTGAAGATATACTTAGGTATTTCCTTTTCCAAATCAAACATATGATAAAATCAGCTGAGAGGTGTGGTTTCTTTGGCCCCTCAGTGTATGTGTTCATTGTCCATCTATATTGCCAGAATCGTGAAGATGTCGTCCCCGCGTCTAAACAACCTCATCCTCATTGGTTGTCTCCTCCTCTACTCCACCGTCTTCCTCCACGACATGACATCGACTGTCGTCAGTGCCATCTGCAAGGCATGTGACTGTTTTCAGATGCGGTTTTAAAGACTAAGATATCACTCAAAATATACTGTCTCATTAAAGCTTAATCAGAATAGGGATTGATCCCCCGTGGGTACTCCGGGCTGGGACAAGATGAGACCAATGAATCGGGTGGTCAGGCTCGGTAACTTGGTTGATAACGTGTCCCAATCTAGCTAAAATCAGATCTTAGTGCTCGTTACCGCTACACAAAGATCTGGGGACACTACATTAACTAGGCATAAATCTGTCACACGCACAACTTGTACAAAATAAAACATCAAACAAAAAAAAGTGTGAAGTGCGTTTAGCCAGACATGGGCTTTTGAGACACTTTATACAATAAAAACAAAGTATCTACATATAATGTGAGACGTGGGGAGTTTAGATAAGAATTCAGAAGATTCATAGAAAACAACAACAAACTCGTCGATTCAACAACGAAAGAAAGGGAAGAGAGGGAGAAAACGTTGTAATTAAAGAACCGTGACAACTGTCGTCTCTTACACATTTCTTTCTAAAACGTTATAATTTATTAAGTGATAAATGCATTTCCATTATAGATTCTGGAAATGGTAATATCGCTTCTCTTTTTTTCTCAACAAATTTCTCGGAACCTTTTTTAATGACGGGGCGTCACACACGTCGACATCTTTTTATCTGTTTAATCCTTCAAAGAATATATACATATATACATATATAATATCATCATTCATGCCAGCGCTATTTTCTACAACCCAGGCTAAAGTTCTGTTCTTGGTCATCGGGTTCTCCATGGCGTTCGGGGCCCTGTTTGCTAAAACCTGGCGGGTGCATTATATCTTCACGAACGCCACCAAGCAGAAGAAGGTAAAACAGTTATTTATACTCAGGTGATGTGGAGACATCCTCGAATTTCAAGGGTAGTTAAATGGTGGCGTGAACTCCATTTGAATTAGTCAGACAGGCCCCTTCGTGTGACAAGGACATGGCGAAATGACAGTTTAGGAAATGGAATAAATTGTGGCAATATGTAAAGAAGTGCAATAAGGCAAGATGGCAAAATGCAATGCTATGTTGGCGAGTCCTTAACTGATAGACCATATTAGTAATTTCTGATCCAAGAACCAAATACATGTACGGTTTTAGCTAAATAAATTATACCCTTTTGCACCGTATAGAAAACATCCTATTTTATGCCAGACGTAATATACCCGTAATATACCCGAGAGGATGAGTCTGATAACTTTAAGCATTAGAGTGAGTGAGTGAGTGAGTGAGTGAGTGAGTGAGTGAGTGAGTGTTGTTTTACGCTGTTTAACAACATTATAGCAATTTCACGGCACCAGATATGTACTTCACACATTGTACTCATTTGGGGAATCAAACCCGGGCCTGAGGCGTGTGGAGCGAGCGCTTCAACCACTAGGCCACCCCGCCGTCCCTTTAAGAATGAGAAGAGTATCTTTCAGGGGTTAGTGATACTGTATTTGAACAGCCATCGTCTCCCGCCAGATACTGACCGACACTCAGCTGTTCGTGATGATAGGCGCACTTGTGGGTCTCAACTCCACCGTGGTCGTCGTGTGGAACCTCGTCGATCCTGTCGTCGTCGTCAATAAGGACCTCATACCCCAGGTGGGTATATTCCTGACCACTAAATTATGCACGTCTGAAAAATTACTTTTTTTCAGACTGGATACTTTAATATGGGTTTTACTGATGTTCATGGTTATGAAATGGTAAGGGTAGCTGAAAACCTCCTTAGCTTTCGTTGGACAAGTCAATACACATTTGCAAACTTCTTCCCGAATTTCAATCACCGGTCTACATCAAGACACACTGAAAAACAATATGTCCTTGTTATTCAACGAGCACCCTTTAAGTGAGATGTTTAAACATTCGGGCGATTAAAGAAGGTAAAACTTCAGGCACTTTCGAAAATACTGGTCTGAATCTTCAGTAATCTGCACGAAATTGTTGGGTTCCAACATGATCAAGACTTTTTTAACGGATAATCGCCTTCTATAGAATGTCACATGACCAGCAGTAAGGCGAAACGATAACTTCTGATGCAAAAGAATTCAAACATTTCTAAAGTATCTTGAAATCTCTGGGTTAGGCAAAAAAGCCAGCCACAGTGTCGCCTGAGAGTTGACTTCTTAGATAAAAGTTGCTCTTAGCACGATTATGAATTCATGTTGAGCCTTTCTTTTAGCTGAATGTTTTTAAGGATTATAAAAAAAATCTCTAAGTATGTTAAAAATCTCTCTGAATACGGACCCAAGTCGTTGAGAATAGCAAGGTTCCACTGTACAGCACATGTCGTTGCAGCGAGACGAGGCGCATGACCGGGAGACCCGGGGGTACGTGGAGACATGCGAGTCCCCCAACCAGATGTACTTCCTGGCCACGCTGTTCGGTATCCAGGGCATTCTCCTGCTGCTGGGGACGTTCCTTGCCTGGGAGACGCGGAAGGTAGACCAACTTTGATAGTCTGATGGGAAGGAGATAGATGACAGCTTTACTGGGATGACTAGAGATTGTGCATGTAGTTAAGACACCAGATGCTTGTATTCCCGATAAACATGTGTTACCTTATGTTTTCCAAGAAAAATATTTATGTGACTAGATCTGGTCTGAATGAATTTTAGTAATGCTTTATATGCACTTTGGTTAAGCATAGGAGAATCAGTTATATTAGTGTCTACAAAACAACCAATCCTATATAACACACATACTGTACAAGGCTTGCAGATTTTTACAATCTTAGTCTTGGAAATTAAATATTAATCTGATAAAAATTGATTAGTTTTACAACAATCGTGACATTGTGTCCGTTCCTTTATCCATATCTCCGGGTCAGAAAAGGTTTCTATACTACTTCTTCTACTACTACAACTACTACTTCTACTACGCCTGGTTCATGACCTGTGCGTTATCCACGTGCCACTACAACCGCTGTACACAATACTAACTGATTAAAATTGGAAAAGCTTAGTCACAAGCGAATGAGATGGATAATAGTGAAGTACGAATAATGATTATTAGTGCAACATTTGAAACATGCAAACTTTAGGAATAAGTTCTTTCCTTGATCCATTGGGCTTTTGTTACAAAACGTGGTGACCATAGATACAGTTACATATCTATCTTCAGAAGTGAAGGGCAATTTGTCAAAAATGAAATCAGATGCCATCTGGAATTTACTAAGAAATCAATGTGTGACATGCCAGATTTCCTCATTGATAACATGTATGTAAAATTTGGGCAAGAAGTAGGCATCCCCATGAATACCAAATGTGTTCCCCTTCTTGCGGATCTGTTTTTTTAATGTATATTAGTCGGAATGTCTGCCCGGATTGGCGAAAGTCAAAACAAGGCAATTGGCAAAGAAGTTGAACTTAAGCTTCAGGTATATCGATGATCTGATGGTGTTCGATGACCATCGAATGACAAATCCCTCCCACTGATTTGCTTGGCGGGGCTGGAGGCGAGGGAGACTGGTGGGGCCGCCTCAACTGTTGAAGGTTTGGATCTGTGCATGGAGATTCAGGGATTTAGGGCACTCTCCACAAGACTGTCTGACAAAAGGATGTTTTCCACTTTCCAATAATCAATTTTCCTTTGTGTCGAGCAATATTCTTGCAGCTCCAGCCATTGCTGTCTACATTTCCAACTTTTGAGGTACAATCGAGCATGCTCTTTCTACCAAGAGCTTTCGGGGAGTTTTGTGGAGGACATTTCCATATTTCAGTGACGAAAATGATGTCCGATGCAATTCCCTGTTTAGATTTGTGCCATGTGTTCCGTGTTTTTTCCGGGTTAGCGGTAGACTTGCAATTGCCTTGGCATGTGTTTGTGACGGGTGAGCGGTAGACTTGCAATTGCCTTGGCATGTGTTTGTGACGGGTGAGCGGTAGACTTGCAATTGCCTTGGCATGTGTTTGTGACGGGTTAGCGGTAGACTTGCAATTGCCTTGGCATGTGTTTGTGACGGGTGAGCGATAGACTTGCCTTGGCATGTGTTTGTGACGGGTGAGCGATAGACTTGCCTTGGCATGTGTTTGTGACGGGTGCCACCTGAGGCACAGGATCCGCTCACCTTTCCGCGAACGCCTAATGTCATCACTATTTGACGGGGATTCAATAAATACATGCTCATGACGTTTTCGGAATACTCCAGGTATTTCCCACAGTAGAGTAAGTATTGTCCTTATATGGGACATACCAAAACTATATCTGACATCACTATTGTTGGCCAGAATGGTAGTCTAGTAATTAGCGCAAAGATCGTAACGTCAAAGTCCCGGGTGATCTGATAATCAGCAGTTGTATGTAAACATACTCATTGTGCGATCATGTCGGCTTAACTACCCTGTCAGGCAAAAATATGTATACACTTCATAAAAATTGGATTTGACCGAAAACTTACAAACTTTATCAGCACGTAATAAGAATGAAAACAGTCGTCAAAACACTGCTGACGTAAGGCCCCAAACTATGATACCCATATCATATACACAACTATAGCTATCGAATAACCATTTCTTGTTCGTTTTATGTACAGCTACCATCAAGCATGGGTGTATATTTTCTTTTGGCCGGCCGTTTATAAAGTGACCTTTATCATTATCTCAGAAATATTGATTAAGTCCCCCCTGAAGCGCAAATGGCGCCCAGATGAATGGACAGAAGAAAGCATAAAAAACACCACACATATGGGTCTCAAGAAAAAAACCCATGAATATTTGTGAAAACAATTACGTGAGATCTCTGGTAATGGACGCCGGTTATCATAACGACTTTATCAGGGAAAGTAAGTAGCGTCTTGTTGAAGGGAACAGCTGTGTCATCATGTATCTGCGACTAACATGGGAATAAAACAATTAGAAGCGATGGATCATTAAAGCTTTGAAGTTAAGATCAATACAAGCACTTACTACCGAGTGATAGAAAGATGACGTATGTTAAAGAAATGGGCCAATTATGTTGTGACGTGTCGTAATGGATCCGTACTCAGTGAACGGAAAAATGACATCATAATTTCGTAAATGTTTTGATTGAAATCTGAACCATCATTAACGCATCCATTTGACAAACACGCAAGGAACTATTTTTAACCAAAGTTAGAACATATCTAAAGTAGTTTGAATATATCTGACAAGCGGCATTCATTAAAACCATTGTGGATGAGGTGAGTTGAGTTGAGGTGAGGTGAGGTGAGGTGAGGTGAGGTGAGGTGAGGTGAGTGTCACATGTGCCACAGTGTAACATAAATACCCAACTCAGACAAACTATACTGACTCCGAGCCGACCAGTCCCTTTTTAGCCCCTTAATACCGAGCGCCAGGCAGGGTAACAGCAAGTATCATCTTTTCGCGTCTTTTGGTATGGCGCGGCCGGGGATCGAACCCCCGACCATCCGCCCTCAGGGCAGACGCTCTAACCTCTAGACCACGGAGGCGGTCAAAACCATTGGGGACATTAACACAGCGCCTCGGATGTTAATAACATAAAGGTGACTAGCATACAGAACATTGAATTATATACACATATATTCCTTGAGTTATTGTTTCCATGGTCCAATTTGGGGCGGCGGGGTAATCTAGTGCTTAAAATCCGAGATCGATTCTCCACATTTTCGCACGCAAAGCGGTGTAAATCCATTCTCATTCATTCGCTTATAACTATCCTGGATCTATCGGGACATAGTTTCCCGACCAACTCTACCGTGACCTTCACTTACAACGGCTGCTACCCGGGTTCTCGGTTTGTCATTACTGTAACGTTACAGTTATGTATTAGTTGAAGTGGCTTCTACTTGGGTTGTCTTGCTCTCATGTTTGATAGAGACACCAGTATTAACATGGAACTTACTATAATTTTGCAAAGTAAAACCTCGTTTATCCAGCATGGATGCTGATGTACCCAGTGAAACCTCGTTTATCCTGACGGGACGCTGATGTACCCAATGAAACCTCGTTAATCCAGACGGGACGCTGATGTACCCAGTGAAATCTCGTTTATCCAGACGCAACGCTGATGTACCCAATGAAACCTCGTTAATCCAGACGGGACGCTGATGTACCTAGTAAAACCACGTTAACCCATACGGACGCTGATGTTACCTAATGAAACCTCGTTAATCTAGACGAGACGCTGATGTACCCAATGAAACCTCGTTAATCCAGACGGCACGCTGATGTACCATGTGAAACCTTGTTAGGCCAGTGAAAGGAATAATAGATCTCTATATTCACACATCATGTCACTTGAATAGGTTGAACTGTACATTTGTATATATGAAGTAAATAATGTCATACAGGTTACACATATAGTAAGGACTTATTCGATCAGCGTGTGAAAATACATAGTTAAATATACTAGTAACTACTTATTAATTTATTGAACTGTAATTGTTTTCTTTCTTAAAGGCAAGCATAAGTAACCAAATAAATACCTGTCACATACGGTGTTTTCATTCCTTTACCCAAGGTGAAGGTTGAAGGACTGAACGACTCCAAGATGATCGGCGTCTGCATCTACAACGTAGTCGTCCTCAGCGTTCTGGGTGTGACTGTTTCCATGGCAATGGGGGACAAGGTCAGCCTCAACTACTGTCTCTCCTCCCTCGTCGTCATCACCGCCACCACCGTCACACAGTGCCTCATCATTGTCCCCAAGGTAAAGCAGGAGTGGCTGGGCACCGTGTCCACTGTGGTTTGCGCACTGGTTCGTTCTCTCGGTCGTTTTGTGCCAAGTCCAGATTCCATTCCGAAAAGGGGCCAAATATAAAAAAAAAAACCCATTAAACTGAAACCATTAATCAATAAGGAAACGTTTTAAAAAATAGCTTTTTCGAAGGCGTTGTTAAATTGCATGTGTCAAAAAGGTCAGTTTAGGTCGAGGCATTTATTCATTATTTCAACGGGAACATTTTTTTTACAAGTTATGATTTACTAAAGAATGGTAAGAAAGGTTCGATGATGTTCGATGATTATATCATCCGGTTAGCCCATCGTTACATTTATCCAGAAGATCAGACTTATTCAAACATTTTAGTCCCATCTCTACACGTGTGTTATACGTTTGTGATTTAAAACAAGAGTTGTTATTGAATAGGTTTTACTCGGCCTACAAAAAATGCACATTCCTGTTGGCAATATGCTTTATGATTACTCATCGACCCGTGAAGATCAGGGGTAGAATAGATCTTCAGCAACCCATGCTTGCCGTAAAAGGCGACTATGCTTGTCGTAAGAGGCGACTAACGGGATCGGGTGGTCAGGCTCGCTGACTTGGTTTGATGCACGTCATCGATCCCAATTGCGTGGATCAATGCTCATGATGTCAATCACTGGATTGTCTGGTCCAGATTCAATTATTTACAGACGCCGTCATACAGCTGGACTACTGCTGAGTGCGGCGATAAACAACATACAAACAAACAAACAAATAGTATTACTCATCAAATTGTTTGTTCAGGGCGTCTCTTCAAGAGAAAATCCAAATGGGATTACTCTTTGAACAAGATAAAAAGATATATCTCAAATAGAGCAGCAAAAAGTCCCATAGTGATCCAGATCGCTGATCGTGGTTGAGAGATAACGTGTTATCTACAGTCCCTCTGATGTCTATAAAATGACGAGCGAAAGCTTTAACCACCAGGCTACCCGACCGCCCCTCCTGATGTTCAGATGTAATCCATTAGTTTGGAGAGGGGTTATGACATTTTAGTTATTTCTTGTCGGCGGAATAAATACAACACTGCTTTTCATTTTTAAAATTTGTTTTTCACATTTCAATGTCGGTGGATTCGTAGTCTGCCCTAATCGGATTGAATTACTGGTGTGGGACAGTACTGTTTGAATCTTTAATTGTGCATTTACATGGTAACAAAGTCAATTAACTGAATTATATTTAATTATCCCATGAAATTCTCCATCATCTTAAGGTAATATAAATGTATCTTAATTATTTAACTCCGCATTCAGCAACATTCCAGATATATTACGTCGGTCTGTAAATAATTCAGTGATTGATATTGTGAACAACGATCCACGCGATCTGGAGATCTGGGGTTACCATTAACGAGGTTTTACTGTCATTCGAATGGTGATTATTGATGATCCCGGTGATAGCACCTCATCGTCTTGGAGGTACAGTAAGCTACGGTTATAACGAACTCAATGGGACCACTAATTTTAGTTCGTTAAAACCGTAGTTCGTTATAAGCATATATACAGCATAATACAGCAGATAGTCGGGACAAAAAAGTAAGTTCGTTATTTCCGTCAGTTCGTTATAAGCGTGTTCGTTATAAACGTAGTTTACTGTACAACCCATCATACATAATGAAATATTTAGTTGTTGCCTCCAGTGCAAGATAATAGTTCAGGATTTTCAGTTCGACAATAGAAAACAATGCAAATCTGACTCTAAATCTGTACCAGATAACAGCATACAAACAGAACAAGACGAAAGTCGGGGACGATGATGTGGGCACCGGGACAACACGAGCCCCCACTACAGTCAACACCCACCTCGCTCCACCCACAGCCACAGACGCCAGGGTGGCTGCTCTACACGCACAAGTGCAGGAGGTGGGTAGAGGTATCAAGTATCTTGGGGTTTCATGTGGCAGTATACCTACTTCATTATGATCAAATGTTTTATTCCGATACGATATCTCTCTGACACCTCCATAGAAGGCTGCGTCACGAGAACCCTGTGCGAAGATGGACCGTCCAATCAAGTGACTTTATACATCTACACTAAGGGTCGGTTAGTCTAGAGGTTAAAGTGTTCGCTCGTCACGCCAACGGCCCGGGTTCGATTCCCCACATGGGTACAATGATACTGTCCTCTGTCGTGATATTGCTTATATAAAGCTAAAAGTGTCGAAGAAACCAACACTCTACTAAATGTATCAAAGTTTCGTGTGGTTTAAAAAGAGTGCGCTCCCTTGTGTATATGTGGTAGTGTGGGATGGGATTGGTCATTTAGGTTATCATGAGAATGGGTAGATAGATAACGATATTACGTGTGCAGCTATTATATATTTGTCCCTCGCAGCACTGCTCAAGCATATATCCCTGTTGATATGAGAATAGTGGACCGCCTCCGTGGTCTAGTGGTAGAGCGTCCGCCCTCAGAGCGGAAGGTCCGGGTTTCGATCCCCGACCGCGTCATACCAAAAGACGTTAAAAGATGGTACTTGTTGTTACCCTGTCTGGCGCTCGGCATTAAGGGGCTAAAACAAGGACTGGTCGGCTCGGAGTCAGTATACTGTGTCTGAGTGGAGTATTCATACTGTGTCATGAACTAGCACTATAAATCGGCATCAGTCCGGACTAGTACAAGCAGCCACACAAACACACACACGTACATGCACGTCGCTATATAAGTGCAATAATCTTGGACGCGACGTTAAACCCCATTTCACCTCACCTCACCTCTGAGAATAGTGTTTCACACAGCGTATCACTTACACTGGACACAGGTCTGTTGGCCTCGAGGATACGTCGTGTATTAGGTCACATGTTGTTATTGTTATTTTCAGCGAGACAAGATGATACTGGTTCTCAATACCGAAGTAAGACAACTGAAAGGACAACTAGAAGCAGCTAAAACTCTGAACAAGACAGATTCAACAACGAATGACGAAACGGATGTACATGCGTCACAGGTCAGATTGGATTCCAAACCAGCGGAAGAAATGAATAACACGGGAGCGGTGACAGACACGATCAAGTTGACCCAGACACTGAGAACAAAGGGAATACAACCACGACCAACGTAATTGACTAGCACTCTGTTCCCCTGGCATGGCCTAGGTAGTGGGCATGGTTCTGTAGAACACGGTAAACCGTTGTTATGACTACGATTTCCATGTGGAAAAAACGACGTAGATGGGATCGTTGATATTACTTGCTTTTTTTTGTCAAAGATTCAGTGACAATTCGCTCTTCACAAGAATGTATGGCAAGAATGACAAGAGGGATGACTTCAACTTTCCAATGGTCAACTTCCCCTTAATGACGAGCAATATTCCTGCAGCTCGTCCTACATTTTACAACTTACAAGGCATGCTTTTTCTACTACGATTACACAAAACGTCATACAATTCTAACTTAGAAGTTGTTTGGTCAAGGTTACAACATCCAAAGCCTCAGTAAAGCTTTAAACAAGTTTTATGGTAGACATGTGGAGGACATTTCCAAATTTGGCGCATCAGTAACAAGAAAGATGTTCTATGTAATTCCCCATTTTTTGCACAATATGTTCCCGTGGTTTTTTCACTTGCCTCTGCGTGTGTTTGTTACGGATGCCACCGGTGGGGCAGGATACGCTCACCTTGTTCGCGAACACCTGGTATCATGACTATTTGTTAGGGATTCATAAACACATGCTCATGATAAAGTCGGCATTGTAAAATCTCTTACAATTTTTTCTTACTGAATCTCATGAATATTTATATCCAAAACATATTTAGGCACATTGTTTGAATTATAGAAATATATCTGGTTTTGCAGTTGCAGCTGAAAAAATATTTAGTCTCCATACAAAATCCCAGTCTCCCCTCCCCCTAAAAATTGTCCGTCCCCAAATGTTTTCGGTATTAACCCCCAAACGTCGTCTGTACATCAAATAACCAATCTTTCAACGACGGTTTTTTTCTGCTGAATAGGAGGGTTCCACAGTGTCGTAGAATGCAGACCAGTAGTTAGAAAACTAGTAAATGGTGAGAACAATGCCCAAGACCTCCCTTTGTGGTAATAGGAATGTCTGGAATGTGGGGAATGGTATGGCACTTCTGGTCTGTTATGAAATGTCTGGAATGTTGCAGAATGTCTGGAATGGTATGGCACGTCTTCTCTGGTATGGCATGTTGAGAATGGGTATTGGCATGTCTGGAATGTTGTAGAATGTCTGGAATGGTATGGCACGTCTTCTCTGGTATGGAATGTTGAGAATGGGTATTGGCATGTCTGGAATGTTATACCACGTCTGGTCTTTTATGGAATGTTGTAGAATGTCTGGAGTGTCTGCAATGTTCTAACGCACCTGATTTATTTTAGAATGTCGGGAATGTGAATCCCCAGTTTCATTACACAGATATATTCAACAAAAGCTATGTACGTGAAGAAAACGTAAACCTCGTCATAAGCTGATGAAGAGATGGAGCAGTTATCTAAGTATTTGTCTATCATCTTCCTTTTCCATCACCTGCAACACTGGCCCCTATCTCAACGACCATGTTACGCTAGTAGTAGAAAAAATATGAAATATGGCTTTTAAAGGAATCACTGCAATTATATAGCAACAACAAGGAAACACTTGTCGACAACAATGTTAGATTCAAATGTTAAGTACACCACAACCACAGCTAGCGGAATGTAGCACATGGTGAACATTAGCGCACAGTTTCCACGACGTCTCGGCGAATCACAGTCTATATCTAGTATGCCATATTTAAACGTCAACAAGCCTCACTAGTTATTTAATCATGAGTCATTGATTCGCGCTTGGGAGTAGAAGCAATATTTTTCTTTCACATCTTTGGATTATCATATATTTCCTGTTACAGTGTGCGTGTACACGGTTTTTTCATTAAAAAGCAGCTTGTTCACTTGAACGCACACGCTATACAGCTGATGGGTCGTTAAGTACGTATTCAATAGCCGAGGTTTAAACGACTTTATCGTCTCGTTTTGAAGTAAACATATTACAGCTACTGTCGAACATTGAAATAAACTATGTTTAAAAGTTAACGATCATTCCAGTTTGGTTCTTGGCTTAAATTGGAGGCAATATTCACCGTCTTCCGCTGAGGTTCATGTTTACTTCCTGTTTTGGGTAACTGAATGAAAATTGTACAACATGTCATCTCCCGATGGAAAGTGCGCCCAAGATTTATGGGTGAGATCTGAGGTTAATCGTCAAGATGCTGATGAACGTAGAAGATGCATATGTATCAGACCCTTTCGCAGGGAGGACGCTGTAGTCGGAACTCTAGTTGGTTTACTGATGTTAGCAATCACCATTTTGACTGTCGTTAATGCGGTTACTATTTCGAATTGGAAAAATAAAACTTCACAGCAAATAGACAGTGAACTATTTTTGACGACCCTCCTATTGAACCAACCCTCGGTCTACAGTCTATCAACGCTTCTTCACAGTGCTTGAACACACAGTTAGTCTTATCCTATTCAACACGAGCTGTCGTTTGTTGTAGCGAAAACCGCACCGTACTTGGCGTGAGACAGTTCCTGAATGAGAAACCAACAATAAAAGGCACAACGCTTACTCAGGGCGAATGGAAAATGATGTTATGTCTGAGACCTTTCATCCGTGCACAAATCAGATCCATGAATGAACGGACAATGAGTAAACGAACACTGCCTGACTGATCTTCACGAACAATTTAAAATTACATACTTAGGATATCAACAACGGGCTCAAAGACGATGAAAAGAAGAAGAAAGTACTCGAAGTTTACTACGCTCATCAATGAAAACCTACATGCCACTCGAACAGAGTTGTAGCGATATGTTCTCGAATAAAAATACTTTCATGTAAATGATAAGAGGAATTGCTTGTTACTCCCTTTGCCACGATAGTCGAGACACTGTTACCTCCATCCAATATGTGTTTAAGGTAAAGTGCATGTACGTGAGTGTATGTAAGTGTGTGTGTGTGTGTGTGTGTGCTTGTACTAGTCCGGACTGATGCCGATTTATACTGCTAACCCACTGAGATACTATGTCGCAATTTAACATGAATACCTCTCTCAGACACAGTATACTGACTCAGAGCTACCCAGTCCTTGTTTTATTGAATGCCAAGCGTCAGACAGGGTAACAACAAGTAGCATCTTTAAACGTCTTTTGGCATGATGCGACTGGGGGTCGAATCGCGAACCTTCCGCTCTTACACTAGAGCACTGAGACGGCCCATGAAACAAAGAACACGTTACAGCGTGGTCTTTCGTTTTCCAATATGTTTAGTTAAGTTTAAGTTAAATTAAGTTAAGTTACATGAACAAAAAGTGAAACATAAAAAGATAATTTATTTTAAAAACGCAATTCTAATTTTCGATTACATGCACACTCTCTTCATACGATGGTGGCAGTTCCCCTCTCGCGTTGAAGGGATGAGGGGAGTTATTCGGAGAGTGTGGACGATACGCGGTGGCTGCAGACTTGCGCAGTGGTGTTGGGGGAACCGTCAGCCATCCAGATGCGGAAGGCTGGGGGGAACCTTGGCATGCAATCGGTACTGGTGTCCATGATGTGGCTCGTGGTTCTATCCGAGTAAACAAAGAAAAAAAAGAAAATGAGTTCACCAATAATTATTGTAGGAGGATTTGAAAACGTAAATGTATATAAAGTATGTCATCTTTACACTCTGAAGACAAACGAAAAAACAACAAGGCTCAATGCGACAGTATATAGATAAATAAATACATATATATATATATATACGACACTGCACAACACTATATGTCAACCATTACAAAACATAAATGTATTGACAATAAACTATTTAGAGTAGAATAATACTTACGTTGGTATGCGCGAAATCGACTTGACGACGTCACTGCACGTTCCGTCACAGGAGTTGTGGAGGTGGTCGTAGAGGTGGGGATGTTCATAGTATCGGTTGTGGCAGTCAATGCAGTCACCAACTGCAAGTCGTCTATGATGTTCAAAATGTCCTCTCTCCGTTCCACGAGCGAACGAAAGGCATCGTCAGTCAAGCTGACTACTTTTTTACTGTCATCTATTTTTCGTTTTTTTTTATGTGAACATAAACCCTCTGGTTGACCAGCGTTACATCAACGGTGTCGTTAAACCAATACTTGACTCTATTGATCGACATCTCTTCTTCTTCTTTTCTCTCGAGTAGGGTGAATAAAACGATCGTGTTCTCTTGACGACGTGAGGATAGGATGCTATAACATCTCTCTTTATAGAGGGTTAAGGTTTTGATTGACAGGAAAAAAATATCCAATCAGTCGCAACTAAAGAAAAGAGGTCACCACTCAATCGAAAGTAGAACAAAATGCTGCTAACGCATTAAAAAAAAGTGAGATATTTTGTCAATGTGTGTAGTTTTGGAAATGTGATAAGCATCATTTCATACTTCACTATTTCATACATGTGCGTTACATTCGAAACATCTCAGAGAGACTATAACGTTAGCGAGTGGCGTATACCCTATTGACCTCTTCTACATATGAAGGCTTATTGCTAATAACACTTTTTTAAACAAAGGTGAACAATTAGTTTTTGAAAAATCAATGCCTTTTCAATAAAGATACGAACTGTTATTAATAAGATGTTTTAAACCACGACCAGATATTTTCATGTTGTTATTTTGTTTAAACACGCTCATCATGAATTCGATTTTTCGAGATTGAGAAATTCAAATCTTTTAAAAAGAAAGATACTAAACAAGCTTATCTGTAAAGTGTCATATTTCATAATAAAGTTCTTAAAACATTTAACAATCATTGAAATATTTTATTTCTAGATGAGATTGTTTTTAACAGAAGAAATGTAACCAAAGTCACTTTTTTAAATGCATCGGAAAAGAAACGAAGAAGTGTTTATGCGCGTGCTTAGTACTGGAGACTCTCTGTATACCATTCCTTAAAACTGGCTCTGAATACTTTAGAAACTAAGGAATATTAGACATCACACATATTTTATTGGAATGTAAAAGGGTAGAATGTCCTATTACATTTCTGACATACCTTATAAGCAAGACATTTTCATTGTTTGTAATGGAATGTGTATTCAAATGTAAGGCTATATCAGTGAGGGTGGCGTTGAGGAGTAACTTCATCACCAACTGTTAAGTCTAGGAACGTCGTTGATCACCTCAGACGCCGTAAGGTAATATATAACGTCTTTATACTTATCGTTCTATTAATTGATGTTTGTTTGTTTCTCTGTGTAAACATAGCTGTTCAAGTAAGGGTAAATCAGATCAACACATGAGAGGTGGTGGTGAGGTGAAATGGGGTTTGCATGTACGTGTGTGTGTTTGTGTGGCTGCTTGTACTAGTCCGGACTGATGTCGATTTATAGTGCTAGCTCACTGAGATACCATGCCGCAGTTTAACATGAATATCCGACTCAGACACAGTATACTGACTCCGAGCCGACCAGTCCTTGTTTTAGCCCCTTAATGCCGAGAGCCAGACAGGGTAACAACAAGTACCATATTTTAACGTATTTTTGGTATGACGCGGTCGGGGATCGAACCCCGGACCTTCCGCTCTCCGGGCGGACGCTCTACCACTAGACCACGGGGGCGGTCTTCAACACATGAGAAGATGTCATCACCCGCCTTTGGGAAGGGGGAAGGTTATGACACGGGGTAGACCAAGGGGTGGGAAAAGAAGTAAAAATACTGCCAGGCGTTCAAACAGCTCTCTATTTCGTTCTCAACCTAAGCCAGCTGGTTGTTCGCGACAGACTTTTAACGGCGAGTCTGTGAATTTGATTTTTATCGAAGTGAACAAGAAGGTGGAGACCTACTGCTATATCGGGCTGGCATACAAAACAGTGTTATCAATCATCTGCAGAGGGAGATTAGGGAGAAGGGTTCGGTGAAGTGGGGTCTGTGCGTTAAAGTCTAAACTAGATAAGATTATCTTAACTAGGAGAAAATGGCGAGGTCACATTTGTTGAACCTTATTTCAAAACCAAGATGATTATTGCTACACAAACCGACAATTTAACAGAACAATATGATGAAATCGCCAGTATCATCATGATAAGGCTAGATGAATTTGAAGGGGAGGGTTCAAATCTCAATTTTGAAGAAGTCCTGTCTGTGAAGCTCACTGTTGCTCGTTTTCGACCATTCAGGGGTTCTTCATATCCCTTTACCAACAGCATTAAAGCGTAGAAGGAAATGTTTGCTCAATATTGTAAATAGTGACGAAATGTGTTTCTTGTATTCCGTCCTAGCTCACCTCCACCCAGCTCCACCCTCTTCCCATCGCGAATATGTCATCCATTACTTGAAACGTGTAGGTAAGTTTGATATAACCGGCATCAAGTTTCCAATATCTATGAAACATATTTCAAAATTTGAAGCTCTAAACAATCTCTTAATCAATGTCTATGCCTACGGGCCGCCTCCGTGGTCTAGTGGTAGAACGTCCGCCCGGAGAGCGGAAGGTCCGGGGTTCGATACCCGGCCGCGTCATACTACCCTGTCTGGCGCTCGGCATTAAGGGGCTAAAACAAAGACTGGTCGGCTCGGAGTCAGTATACTGTGTCCGAGTGGGGTATTTATGTTAAACTGCGGAATGGTATCTCAGTGGGCTAGCACTATAAATCGGTATCAGTCCGGACTAGTACAAGCAGACACACACACACACACACACGTGCATGCACGTCGCTATATAAGTGCAATAATCTTGGACGCGACGTTGACCCCATTTTCACCTCCCCATCTATGCCTACGACGAACCTAACGAACAGACGGACGAAAACCCCAAATCAGGTGTTATCTACCCAGTGCACATCAGCAAAGTAGAATCTCAAACCACTCCAGACAGATGCATAGATCTCTTACTGTTAACTGATGAGGAAAAAGCTCATTTTTGCTTGATCACAAACCTGGGTGAATTGGTCAGAAAAGGCGGTGTGAAGTGATCGGTTTGCAGACGGTGCTGGTGGCCCTTTTCTTCTCAAGGAGCTTTAGAAAAACATATGGAGTATTGTTATCATAAGGCTCAAAGAATAAATATGCCCTTGGAAAATGGAAACATATTACAATTTGGACCTCGACAAAAGTCTTATCAACAAAAAGTTGATTTTGTGTTTTATACAGATTTGGAAAGTGTTTTAGAAAAGGAAATTGAAAATAATGACACTCAACACACAATGCGTATGCAAAAGCACATACCTTGTGGTTATGCATATAAGTTAGTTAGCCGTGTATCCAAGTATTCAAAAGATTAACAGGTATATTCTGGCAAACATGCATCCGCTCAATTCGTGAACAGTTTCCTTGAAGATTATGATTGGATACAAAACATTTATAAATCCCCCGCTCCCGTGAAACTTACCAATATAGATCGCCTAGCAATAGAAAACACAACAACATGTTACCTCTGTGGAGATGAAGTCGGGTTTGATAGAAATATCGATCACTGTCATCTTACAGGCGAGGACAGGGGCATGACTCATCAAATGTGCAATATCAATTATCAACAACAAAAACGAGTTGTCTGTGTACTTCATAACGCTGAGCGCTATGACAATCATTTGATCTTGCAAGCAGCCGAATTGTTAGCGGATAGAGAGTTGAAATGTATTGCAAACAACACAGAACAATTCTTGAGTTTCAGTATTGATAATCTCGTATTTAATGATTCTTTCAAGTTTCTCTCCACTTCACTTGAGAAATTGGGTCAAAATCTTAAAGGCAAGGGGAAAGAAAACTTCGTACACTTGAGAGAAGTGCTTCCTGATCAAACTGGTATTTTGACACGAAAGTAACCATTTTTTTTAATGAATATTTTAAATAGTTTTGAGAAATTCAAGGACACCCAACTACCTCCTCAGTCAGAGTTTTATTCTAATCTCAGCGAGGAACATGTGTCCGACGTGGATTATGAATTTGCTAAGCAACTGTAGGATACATTTCAGATCGCAGACTTAGAGGAATTTATGCGTCTTTATGTAAGTGTAGACACACTGATACTGTGTGACGTCATGGAAACATTCCGTCACATGTGTTTCATTGATGATGATTTGGAACTCTATCACTTCCTGAGTCCCTGGTTATAGTTTTGTGAGTTGTCTTCAGTACACGGGAATGCAGTTCGAGCTGTTTACACACCCCGACCTTTATACTTATATTGAGAAGGGAATTCGCGGGGGTGTATCAATGGTGTGTAAACGTTACTCCAAAGCCAACCACCCCTACATGACTGACTACGACCCCACAAAAACACGAATTACCTACTGTATTTTGACGTGAATTCATTGTTTTCGACTTGTATGCAAGACCCTTTACCGATTGGAGAGTTCCAATTTTTAGACCATGAAGAGATTGAAAAAAATTGATTGGATGTCTGTCCCAGATGAGGACGATTATGGCTATATTATAGAATGTGACCTGAGCGTCAGCCGTGGCTTACACAAGCTTTTTGCTTCTTTCCCTTTGGCACCGTCGCATGACAATGTATCGGCAACAGAGTTTTCTCCTTACTGTATGGGGGTCGGTCGGGTAGCCTAGTGGTTAAAGCGTCGCACGTCAAGCCGACGACCCGGGTTCGATTCCCGACA